AAAGGGTCGCGGCATTAGGAAAGTTGAGAACCACCGCTATTAAGTAAACCTAAACTTCAGAACCCTTTTCTGACTCTCTCAAAGCCTTCTCTGGCATCTCACTGGATTATTCTAGTAACCCAATGAGGTCTTAGGTTTAATCAACCTGGAAAATGGGCATAGTAATTATCCCTCCCCACACCAGGAAATCCGGACAGGAGAACTAAAAGAAAAAGCACTTACAAGCAATTCAAAGGTATTCACATGCATAAGGTATAATTGTTATTTTAAAAGCCCCCCTCCTCCACCAAAGATAGGCCACTGGGCCCTAAGGAAGGCCTTTCAATAAAGGCCTCAGCAGTCTGAGGGAGGAAGTCAGCTGTCACACAAAATCTTAACAGGTAGACTAAGATCTTAACATGTGGACTAAAATATTTCAACCCTTTAATTAAAGCTCAGGAAACTCTCTTGCTCTCTCTTACACACATACCCTGCAACAACCAACCCTTTTCTCTTAGGGACAGTTACAGGCAAGTCTCAGTGGAGAGAGAAGTCAGTCACTTGTGCCTATTGCCTGGGCAGGAGGGAGGTAGGTGTGCCTCTCACAACCCATGCTGCTATGAATCACATGGCCCAGCACCCACATTATCAGGGCCTTATCTCCTCCTCTACAGAAGGTTTTTCTCTCTTTTTATTTTTTAAATTTAATTTCATTTTTAAGGTGCCTGTAGCACAGGGGGTACGGCGCAAGCCACATTCACTAAAGTTGGCAGGTTCGAACCCAGCCCAGGCCAGCTAACCAACAATGACAACTGCAACAAAAAATCGCTGGGCACTGGGGAAGATGCCTGTAGTCCCAGCTACTTGGGAGGCCGAGGCAAGAGAACCGCTTAACCCCAAGAGTTGGAGGTTGCTGTGAGCTGTGACAACATGGTACTCAACCCAGCGTGACATAGTGAGACTGTCTCAAAAATTAATTAATTTAATTAATTAATTAATTTATTTATTTATTTTTGCAGTTTTTGGCCAGGGCTGCATTTGAACCCGCCACCTCCAGCATATGGGCCTAGCACCCTACTCCTTTGAGCCACAGGCGCCGCCCTTTATTTATTTATTTTTTGAGACAGAGTCTCACTACGTTACCCTCGGTAGAGTACTGTGGCCACAGCTCACAGCAACCTCCAAGTCTTGGGCTTAAGCAATCAATTCTCTTGCCTCAGCCTCCTGAGTAGCTGGCACTATGGGAGCCTGCCACAATGCCCAGCTATTTTTTGGTTGCAGTTGTCATTATTGTTTAGCAGGCCCAGGCTGGGCTCGAACCCTTGAGCCTTGTGGTCAGTGCCCCTACCCACTGAGCTACGGGCGCCACCTAATTTCATTTTTTAAAATCCATGCTTGCTGAGGGTTTTAGACCATGCTGCAGGCTTTATGAACATTATCTCATGGGCTCCTCATGGAATACACTTTCCCTTCTCTGGAAACTGAGATATAGAGAAGGGAAGTCAATCACCTAAGGTCATATAATGAGTTAATTAGGAAAGGTAGGATGGGAGGCCAGGTCCTCCCTGGGATCCTTCTTATCCCCAATCCCCATCTTGAATTTTATTTTTTTGTTGTTGTTGCAGTTTGGCCAGGCTGGGTTCAAACCCGCCACCCTTGGTATATGGGGCTGGCGCCCTACTTACTGAGCCACAGGCACTGCCCTAGCTCATCTTGAATTTAAAAAAAAAAAAGAGAGGCACTCAGGCGGTGCCTGTGGTCCAGTGAGTAAGGTGCCGGCCCCATATACCGAGGGTGGCGGGTTCAAACCCGGCCCTGGCCAAACTGCAATAACAACAACAAAAAAATAGCCGGGCGTTGTGACGGGCGCCTGTAGTGGGGAGGCTGAGGCAGAATAGTCACCTAAGCCCAAGAGCTATGGCACAACACTCTACTGAGGGTGATGAAGTGAGACTCTGTCTCTGTTTAAAAAAAAAAAAGGCACTCACCATAACATTATAGAGGCAGGGACTTCACTGAGGAAAAAGATCCTGGGAACTTGTTTCTTTTGGGGGGGAAGATAGAGAGTGGTTTAAAAAGAGTATTATGATTTGCAATTGAAAGGCTTGACAGATTGGGAAAGCATACTCAGAATCCCCACCATATGTTGATGAGAGAGGCCAGAGTGCCCAGCTACTGACTCCCAGACCAAAAGTAGCTGGAAGGCAAGAATTCAGTGTCCTTGTCTTAGGCAATAATTACTGAGGGCCGACTACGTGCTCCTTTAGTATATGTTCAGGCATTTATTCAACTGGATTTATTAAGCATCTACTGTGTGCTGGGCACTGCACTAGTCGCTGGAAATACAACAGTTAGCAAAACGGTTGTAATTTCCTTGTCCTCATGAAGCTCACGTTCTAGTGAAGTAAGATAGGCAATAAACAAGTAGGTACATACAATAAGAAATTCAGACTATAGTAGTAGTAGTATAGTATATATAGTATAGTAGTAGTAGTATAGTATAGTAGTAATATATAGTATAGTAGGTGCAATGATGGAAGCACACTGGCAGCTGTGATGCAGAGTCACAAATGACCCTATTTAAAGTGCTCAGAGAGGCTCAGGGACCGTAGCATGGTGGTTACAGTGCCATCCACATACACCGAGGGTGGCAGGTTTAAACCCGGCTTGGGGCCAGCTAAACAACTGCAACTACAACCTCCTCCAAAAATGAGGAGCAAGCCAAGTGGAGGCTGGGGGAAAAGTGAAAATTAGGGAGAGTGAAAAGGAAATGCAAAGGGCCCTGTAGTGGCAGGTGCCTGTAGTCTCAGCTACTTGGGAGGCTGAGGCAAGAGAATTGCTTAAGCCCAGGAGTTTGAGTTTGCTGTTAGCTATGATGCCACAGCACTCTACTGAGGGGGACAACGTGAGACTCTATCTCTAAAAAAAAAAATAAAAAATAGGCTCAGCGCCTATAGCTCAGCAGCTAGGGTGCCAGCCACATACACCAGAGTTGGAGGGTTCAAATCCAGCCTGGGCCTGCCAAACAGCAATGAAAACTACAACCAAAAAATAGCTGGGTGTTGTGGTGGGCGCCTGTAGTCTCAGCTACTTGGGAGGCAGAGGCAAGAGAATCGCTTAAGCCCAAGAGTTTGAGATTGCTGTGAGCTGTGATGCCACAACATTCTACCCAGGGCGACACAGTGAGACTCTGTCTCACAAAAATAAAAAAATAAATAATAAATTTTTAAAAAATGGTCAGAGAAGGTCTCTTGGAGGAGGTGACATTTGATCTGAGAGCTGAAAGATGAGGAGCAAGCCAAGTGGAGGCTGGGGGAAAAGTGAAAATTAGGGAGAGTGAAAAGCAAATGCAAAGGCCCTGAGGTGGGAGTGGTTGATATATGTTTTGGGATCTGAAGGAAGGTGCTGCAGTAAAGGAGAGAGCAGCCTGCTTCACACAGTGTCTGTCAAAGTGAGTTTGGAAAACAACCAGAAGCAACAAGCAGGGCACGATGTTTTTTTGGATTTTTTTTTTTTTTTTGAGACAGAGTCTCACTATGTTACCCTGGGTAGAGTGCTCTGGCGTCACAGCTCACAGCAACCTCAAACTCTTGAGCTTAAGTGATTCTCTTACCTCAGCCTCCTGAGTAACTGGGACTACAGGCGCCCACCATAACGCCCAGCTAAGCAGGACATGATGTTAAGGGCCCGTTGTCTGCTGCCTATCTCCAGCTCCTGTGGAACCTCTGAAATCCCCCAGAGGTTCCATGACTAGACCAACGTCACTACAGTAGCAAGAAGCACATCCTGCCCATGCTTTATGCTTCACTACTGTTACCTGTTACTGGCCCATAGTCTCAAAGACCTGTGGAGCCTGGGATGTGAGCCCTGAGAGCCTCCAGAGGCTCAACAACTTCATTCCCAGTGGAAGGTAGGGCAGATATACACTGCTCTTCTTACATGGCTCTTGGGTGCAGGCACACATGAGAATGTCCCCAGATGGGGGAGGTCCTACTGGGCTGCTCAGGTCTATACAATGCAAAGACCTGTAGTGGTGTGACTCAAGCTTGACCTAGAGCTGCTCCCTGCCTATCCAAATCCAGGAAACTATCTGATTCCTATTAATAAAACAACCTTATGGCCCTACATCTCTCCTACACTGGCTTCTGCCTTGCTGACCTTTCTGCTGTCTCCCTACCTACGTCCCTACCGGCCTCTCCAACACTCTCCACCAGCCTGACTCCTAAGGTCCACCTCTTCCGCCTTTCTCTCATCAGCACTTTCTACTCCCTCATTCCCTTGTCCTCCTACCACACACACCTGGCAAAACCCCAACCTTGGATCAATCCACCATCTATCTTTCTTTTTTTCCACTCATATTCCAAGGCTGCTGAATAGTACAGGAGAAAATCACATAAGCAGAAAGCTTGGCATTACCTCATGGTCTCCAGCCTCAGTTTGGGGAAGTGGAAAGACCACAGGCTTTGGACACAAATAGATCTGGTTTTGAATCCTGGCTCCATACTGGCTGTGTGACAGTAGGGAAGTTAATTAACTTTTCTGAGCCTCAGCTTCCTCCCCTACAAAATCGGACTAATGATATTTACTTCACAGAGAGTTCCTGAATGAAGTTGAAATGAGAACCCATATAAAGCACCTAGTCCAGGGCCTGGCACAATGTAGGCACTTGGAAAATGGAAGAAGACTCCTTTTCTCCTATTCCCTCAACTATTCCCTAGTTCCCCCAACCAAATCCCAGTTGCTGCTTTGCAACCCTGCCCCTTTTTCTTGGAGTGCTCTCTCTCCTATTAGCCTCAGCAGACAGAAGAGAAGGGTGTCAGAGAGATTGGTTGAGGGGTATACGGGACAGAGAGAGGAGACAAGGATAGAAGTTGAAAGGATTGGATGGAGGACCGAGGGGTGGGGGGATGAAGGTACTCAGAGGGCCAGCCCCGAGCTGGGGTTTAGAGAGCCCACGAACAAGGACACACTCCCAGTACCAGGCCCATGGCCTGGGCTCCCATGCTCTCTTGATCACTCACCAGGCCGAGTCTGCGAGCCTTCCAGGTGGTAGGAGAAGCGCAGGGCCCGGTGGTGCTGTGGATTGGGGCCGCAGGGCAATATCCGGGGGCCTGGAGCAGCGCCCAGGCTGACGTCCGAGGGTCCGGAAAACTGGGGCTCCAGGGAGCCGCCAAGAGCCGAGCCTGAGCCCCTGCGCACTGGCAGTCCAGGCTCTGAGGCTCCAGGGTCCGAGTTGGCGCAGGCCGGTAGAGAGGCGCCAGGGGGGGTTGCGACCGGGGATTCCGGCTCCGAGGGCCCAGCTCCCCCAGGGGCTCGGTGGCCGTGCATGGTCCTGGCCTGTGTGCAGGGCCTGGGCTCCCCGCTTGGCTCCAGCTTCTGGGGCGGAGGCGCGGGCGGAGGAGGCCAGGCGCCCAGTAGAGCAGCGACCTCAGGCTCGGGGGGCGGGGCTGCAGGCTCAGCCCCACTGCCGAGACTGGAGACCCCGGCCCAGACTCGGGCCAGCAGCCCTGGCAATGGTGGCAGTAGCAGCAGCCGCAGCCACCGCCGCTGTCTTGCCAGGCATCGCCGGCCCCAACCCCGTCCCCGCACCGGGTGTGGGCTCGGCGGGGCCGGGGGCCTACTGAGGAGCGCTGTCTATGCGGCTGTAGTTGGGCGAGGGTCCGGGGGGGCTGTGATCGGAGCGGGCTCTCTAGCGAACGGCGAGCCACTTCCGTGGCCCCGGGGCGAGTGTTTGGTTAGATTCGAGTGCGGGGGCTCTTCTTTCTCCACGAATGGGAATCGATCTGGGCTCTTCTGGCTGGTCCGAAAAGGTTCTTCCTCCCGCCGCAGCGGAGACTGGGAGCGGAGAAGAGGAGAGGGGAGAGTAAGGGAAGGGAGGGGAGAGAGAGTACGGAGGTGGCTGGGGGCGTGCGTGTAAGCCGCGTGCCTGGGCTGCAGAGCTTGCCTTCAGCCAGTCCTTCCAGACTAAGCTTCAGTCGCGGGGGCAGGGGAACCGCCTGGGCTGGGCTCCACAGTCCTCGCCAGCCTCAGCTTGGGTCTCGCAGGCGGCGGGCGGGAAGAAGCCCCAAGAAGGGGGATGGGGAGGCTGAAGCGGTGGCTGAGACAGCCGCAGCCTAAGCGCCTCTGGGACCCAGTTTGCCGGGGCCCCGCCCCCTCACCCGGGATTAGCACTTGACCAAGCCCCCTCTGTTGGTCTGCCTCTCTTCTCGCTGTGACCGCCCTCAGGGCCCTCCTGCCCCTTAAAAATTCCACCTCAGCCTGCCTTCCCCTTTTCTCCCTGGCCCCACACAGTCTGGTCTCCGGGCTCAATCCCCCAAATCTGCCCTTCCATCCCATCTCAGGTCTTCCATCCCTCACCAATCTCTCTCTCTCTCTCAGAGAGACTCTCGCTATGTCACCCTCGGTAGAGTGCCATGGCGTCACAGCTCATAGCAACCTCAAATTCTTGGGCTTAAGCGATTCTCTTGCCTCAGCCGCCCAAGTAACTGGGACTACAGGCGCCTGCCACGACGCCTGGCTATTTTTGGGTTGTAGTTGTCATTGCTGTTTGGCTGGCCCGGGCTGGGTTCGAACATACCAGCTCCGGTGTATATGGCTGACACCCTAGCCGCTGAGCTATAGGCACAGAGCGAGCCACCCTTCCTCCCTCCCTCCCTTCCTTCCTTCCTTTCTTCCTTCCTTCCTTCCCCTCCCTCCCTCCCTCCCTCCCTTCCT